TTGAGATATCAAAAAAGTACTCCAGAGTGTTGTTCAGCATGGGGGTGAGTAGAAAATGAAGGCTAATCATGTTTTGGGTGTACTATTCCTTTAAGCCTGGTTTATACCCAGAAACCAGGTTGTCTGGTGTGTGTCACATTTATCGCAGATATGCCCCTTCCGCAGACACTCTGGTGCATCTCCCCAAAATTGTAGGCGACCGCAGACAGGAGGCCTCTGATTGGTCAAATCCGCTCTACACAATGCGTATTTCCCGTTTGGTACCTAATGGCAGAAACTCTGGCTGTGGTGCCGTTCACAACACCTAGCACCTTGGACACTATTCCAGACAGCGTGCAGGACGCTAGTTTGTAGCTCTGTGCGGCGGTCTGTTGGTTTGCACCCGAAGCCAAAACACGCAGCGCAACGGCCAATCTTTGGGGAACACTTACGGGTGAACTGTGTGTCGTCTGCCGTTGAATGAGGGGTTGTAGACTGCGAACAAGCTCGTCAAACCGACACACGGACACCCACAATCCTAGCTAGTTCCTGATTGTCCCTCTTGTGTTGTGGCGGGGAAAAACGTAGCACAGACAACGCTTCAAAACTGGGCATAAATCAAAAATATCTGCGTCATACCTGCAACAAGCTAATTGCGACACATCGCTGCGGGAGGATAACCAGCCTTTTAGACTTCTATCAAAGGTGGATCTCAAGGTTCTGTTGTTGGTCTCTTTGATTTTCTCCAACTACAAAGTTAGAGTTCTAAAGGTTTCCAGTTCTACAACGCTAACATCCCAGCTTATATCACAACACACCACTGATGTCTTTAGCAACACTCCACAGAGAAGACGGTTCTGGGCCTTAAGGTGGGCATACACTGTACGATTTAAAAAAAAATCTTTGCATGCAGCTACAGCTCTCACTGTACGATGAAACCGCAGGGTTTAAAAGTTTACAGCTCACGATGTTTGCTCTCACGCTGTGCGACCCGATGCTCTGATGCGATCTACCTTCTCACACTGTATGTCTAAAAACCAGGTGGGATGGCGCTACTCGGACTCGTCTATCCGGAAGCCAATCGAGTAGAAGAGGAACATGTAGCTCACTAGAGTGAAACGCGCTGCCTTGGATATTTGGCCAATTTAGTGCAGAAAGCCCTAAAAAGAAAAGGAGACGACGTATTTGGACAAAGACATGGCTGAGAAAACATGGCTATTATGGTCTGTCAATTTCACACAAAGAACTCCATTTCACTCATTACGACGGAGTATTAGGTCCAGGCAAGATATTTTTTTCTTCTATTTCGTGAATAACGTCGTAATATTATGCGAATAAAGTTGTAATTTTATGAAAACTCTTACAAGAAGCCCTTTCTTCCCTAAAATGAGGAATGTGGAGCATCCTGTGAAGTTCTACTTTAGCATCGGTTTGACAAATCAGGAAATCTTTTAGCAGCAGCATCAAACTGGGCAGGATGTCAAAGTGGACTCTGGTTGCTGATTGGTGGAGCTGGTCGGCCATCATCTGTTGGGCGGAGCTCCAAGCTTTCTTTCTGAAACAGGTTGATGTATGATGACTTTATTCTCATAATGTTGCGACTTTAGTCTCGTAACAGGAGAAATAAAATCTTTGGCCGGACCCTTATACTCCATCGTACAATCGCACCCCCGCCATGCTTCTGTGTTTTCCTCTGAGGAAGAAGAATCCGTCTTTGCACCCACGACCACCTTACGACGGCCGACAGAATTTCAAACATGTTTGATTTGCTCCCGACATTACGATTCCTGATAGGGGGGTGGTCGTTAGAGGCTGATCGCCCCTCGTTACCCCTGTACACTTAACCCTGCACCATCAGGCTGAAAGTCGGCACAATAAAAAATGTTTTCGCACAACTGGAGAATCGGCCCAATAAGGGCAAAAGAAAACAGTGTATGCTCGGCTTTTCTGTTTGATTAATTATTTTGTTGGGTCCTCACAAAGCAGAACAGATTCCAGCCCTACTTTATTTTACCCATTTGCAATGCCTCCGCGAACCACTAGGGGTACAAGAACCCCCGGTTGGGAATCGGTGAGTTCTTCTTTACGTCAGACGGATGTTCCTCATGTTCCTGAACTTCATCTGGACATGATGGGACGTCCAAGTCCGACGTCTTCACTCCATCTTAATATAGCTATTCTAAAATGAATCTGCTAAAAAAAAAACTTATTTTTCAAAATATTTTTATTTTCTGGTTCATTTTACAGATCAATGTTGTGATGAAACAATAGGAGTCTTTATTTTATGCCGCCCTGATCCAGAACACGGTCCGGGTGGGTTCTCTCTGCTGAGGCAAACAGAACCCACCCCGACCCGTCCAGCTCCACCCGCCTCTTCTGGGCTTCACAGCGGTTCTGTTTGGACTGAGAAGAATCTGGCACCAGAACCTAAAAAAGTTGTTCTCTGGTTGGGTTAACAGCAGTTTGTTTGCAGGTTACAGCCCAGAGGAGAGCCAACGGGGGGACGCCTGCGAGGGGGACAGCGGAGGACCGTTTGTGATGAAGGTGAGGAACCCTCCGTGGAGGAGTTGACCTCCTCCTCATTAATTACCTGAATTAAAAAACATGGAAACGTCCTCAGAGGAGCCGCAGTTTTCCACTTTTAGACGGTTCTTCCTGAAGGAAACAGGTTCCTGATAACCCGTCTGTCCCTCTGCAGTACCCGGCAGAGAACCGCTGGTACCAGATCGGCATCGTGTCCTGGGGCGAGGGCTGCGACCGGGACGGGAAGTACGGCTTCTACACCCACCTGTTCAGGATGGGCCGCTGGATGAGGAAGGTCATCGAGAGGACGGGGGGAGACGACGACTAGAACTTAACCCACTTCCTGTCAGAAACCAGATGATCTCAATAAAGTTTATCCACATCCAGCTGTGTCCAGTGGTTCATTTCCTGAGAAACGGCAGGAGCTGATGTCTTCAGGTCTCATCCTCAAACTCTTCTGTTTATGGAGCATACAGACGTCTACTTCTGTTTAGTTTGCCTCCTCCGCCTCCTTCTCCTGCCCAGCAGGGCCCTGGTGTGTCAGCAGGTGTCTGTTCAGGTGATTTCTTCTGGTGTAGCTCTTGGAACAGAAGGTGCACGCGTATGGACGGTCTTTCCTGTGGGTCAGTACGTGCCTGTTCTGCTCAAACTTCCTCCAAAAACCTTTCCCGCATTCAGGACACGAGAACGGCTTCTCTCCTGTAGGAGAAGTACAGCAGCGGTCAGCCAGGATCGGTTTGAATCTAGGAATATGTCTGTGGTTCCTCTGAGCTCTCAATGTACCAACATTCTAATTTAGATTTCTATATTTGGAAAGTTAGCCTTACAGAGTTAGAAAGGCTGAGGGCTCCACCAAATAATAGCTCAGCCCTGATCAGGAGGAATTTCTATGCCTGGACTTATTCATTTTCTAAAACACTGAGATTTGTAAACAGGGAAGCTAACAGGGATGTTAACAGAGGTGCTAACAGAGGTGGAAACAAGGAGGCTATGACTGTGTCCGAGTGTCCGCCCTTATCAATTATAGTGATTACACCATTTTAAATTAGTGTCCCAATGTCTGGTAGAAAGAAAAGTAGTGGACTTGACATTTCCCTGAAACCTTAAAAAGTAGTGATCGTCCATATCCCCGATACATCCCGGAATACGTGGCAAGAGCGAGACAGCAGCAACAAATAACACATTGGGCAGAGGCACCATGCAAGGAGGCAGAGCCACGTGATCAACGGGGAGTGAAAAGAGAGTGATTATTTAAACTTAGCAACAGTCGGTTAGCCGAGTTCAGTATAAAGTCCGCTATACAGTCCCCGCTCTTTATGTGATGGAGGGATCTAGGGCAGACGTTTGGACACAGCCTAAAAGAGGAGCTAACAGCGGTACAAACAGGGAGGCTAACAGCGGTACAAACAGGGAGGCTAACAGCGGTACAAACAGGGAGGCCAACAGCAGCAGTGCTAACAGGGAGGCTAACAGCGGTGCTAACAGGGAGGCTAACAGCGGTGCTAACAGGTAGGCCAACAGAGGGACTAACAGCGGTGCTAACAGGTAGGCCAACAGAGGGGCTAACAGCGGTGCTAACAGGTAGGCCAACAGAGGGGCTAACAGCGGTGCTAACAGGGAGGCCAACAGAGGGGCTAACAGGGAAGGTAAATGCGGTGCTAAATGCGTGCTAGCATGATGCTAACAGGTGCTAATACAGAGGCTAACTGTTCTCATATAGCGGCTAACCACAGGAACCCAGGAAGCCGTGTCTCTGGTCATGTGACCCGGCTCACCTCTGTGCTTATGCAGGTGCTCCTTCAGGTTGCAGGACATGGTGAAGGCCTTCCCACACTCCTGACAGACGAAGCGCTTCTCTCCAGTGTGGAACCTCATGTGCTTCTCCAGGTCTCCTCCCGAGGGCCAGGCTTTGCCGCACACCTTGCACACGTACGGCCGCTCGCCCGTGTGCCGCCTCACGTGCACTTTGAGGTTGGGCAGCACGGAGAAGCTCTTGGGGCAGTGGGGGCAGCGGTAGGGCCGCTCCCCGCTGTGGATCCTCAGGTGGAGCTCCAGGCTGCCGCGGCTCCTGAGGCGCTTACCGCACTGCTGACACAGGAAGCAGGGGTCGCTGGTGTGCCTGGCGAGGTGGGACTGCAGGCTGGAGGCGGTGCTCATGGCCTTGTTGCACTGGGGGCACGGGTAGGAAAGCACCTTGTGGGAGCGCATGTGGATCCGCAGCAGAGTCACTCCTGCAGACAGAGGCGGGAACGGGCTGAGCTCTGTTCTCAGCAGCGGCAGCCAATCAGGAGGGAGGTCTTACCTGTGAAGCTCTGGTCACAGGTAGGGCACTTATAAAGAACCTCCACCCCCTGGGATGCGTGCGTCTGCAGGTGCACCAGCAGCCGTCGATGTGAGCTGAAGTTCTGATGGCAGATGGAGCATGTGAGGTCCGGCTTCTGCTCCTGCTGCTGCTGCTGCTCCTGCTGCTCCTGCTGGCTGTTGTCCCTCTCTGAGGACGTCGGCTCAGGCCCGCTGCAGGTCTGGTCCTGCCCGCTCAGGTGAGTCTGCTTGTGATTGGTCAGGCTGGACAGGTGCAGGAAGGCCTTGTCGCACTGGTTGCACTTGAAGACGGGGCGGTGCTGATGGGAGCGCATGTGGGCCAGCAGCTCTGCTCTGCTCTGGAAGACGACGCTGCACTGGAAGCAGCTGTTGATCCTGGAAGGATGGGGCCCCGCCGCGTCGGAACCTTCGGACCCGGGTCTTCGGCCCGACCCGCAGGCTTTGTTGGAGCGCAGGTGGCTGATGACCTGAGGAGCAGCTTCAGGGTCAAAGGCTTCCTGGTTGGACCTGAGGACATGCGGACAGACACTCACCTGAGACCTGTAGATGAAGCACTTCCCACATTCAGGACACCGGTTAGCCACACGCTTAGCATTGTGGGAAATGATGCACGGGGTAATGGCTGTGGGTTTGGAGCCAGCTGATTGGCTGTCAGGGTCTCCGGGGGAATCCTCCATCCTGGCAGGAAGAGACGGCTGATCAGAACCTGCTGCTTGGACCCCGAAGCCTCCAGAAACTGAACCAACCCACCTGTTCCCGACCTCCGCCGCAGCAGCGAGCCCATTGGACGACTCCTGCTCCTCCTCTGACACGCTCTGACCAATCACAGCCTCCTCCAGCTGCTGAGGACCGCTGTCTGATTGGCTGGCCGGCTCAGAGTGGGCGGGCTCAGAGAGGAGGGGGTGGGACCACGCTGAAAGGATCGTCTCCTCCACTTCACCGAAAATGGGAAAAAAGAAACCAGATCAGAACCGGGTTCAGAACCTTCCTGGGTTCTGATGACCCGCCGACTCAGATCAGAACCGGGCTCAGAACCTTCCTGGGTTCTGATGACCCGTTGGCTCAGATCAGAACCGGGCTCAGAACCTTCCTGGGTTCTGGTGACCCGCCGGCTCAGATCAGAACCGGGCTCAGAACCTTCCTGGGTTCTGATGACCCGCCGGCTCAGATCAGAACCGGGCTCAGAACCTTCCTGGGTTCTGATGACCCGCCCGCTCAGATCAGAACCGGGCTCAGAACCTTCCTGGGTTCTGGTGACCTACCTGCGGTGGTTCCCCGGCCCAGGCGGCAGCTCTGATTGGACAGAAGCTCTCTCAGGTGTTCCTTCTCCGTCTCCTGCAGAGATTCCTCCAGGATGCCGGGAGCGTCCTGGAGCCAGGAGGCAGCCTGGGGGAAGACGGGACAGCGGGTCAGGGGGGTGAAGATGGGAGCAGGAGGAGGAGCAGGAGGAGCGGGGGAGGGTCCGGGCACCTCTCTGAAGTCGGGGACAGGAAACAGCTGCTCGACCCGGGACAGGAAGTCCGACACCAGGGACTGGAGGGCGGAGTCAAAGCTCTGGTTGAACACCTCCTGTAAGAGAGACAGCCAGAGATGAAGAGGAGCTGGCAGAGGAGGAGGGGAGCAGTGACACCACCCACCTGCAGGAGGCGCTGTGAAGCAGCAGGAGTCTGGGCCAGTCTGTTGGTGAGAGCGAGCAGAGAGGAGCAGCATTCAGTCAGATCTTCATCCTGCTGCTGACAGAGACACACACTGAGGAAGAGGCTAACCCACAGCATGACCCTGCCCCTACTGCACCAGCTTATGGCAGAGGAACACTCACCGATGCTGTGGAGATGGAGCGGATCCTCTGCAGGTGGTTCGGATGATTATCAGCGTCAGCGAGGATCACCTGAGGAGGAGACAGGTGGTTAAACCATCTGAGGAATATTCCAAAATGAGCAATCTCCTGTCCAGGGGTGATGCTGAGAAACTAGTCCATGCATTTGTTACTTCAAGGCTGGACTATTGTAATTCTTTACTATCAGGAAGTCCACAAACTGTAGTTAAAAGCCTTCAGCTGATCCAAAATGCTGCAGCCAGAGTTCTGATGAAAATTAAAAAGAGAGATCATCACTCTGCAGGTTTACTAGTGGTTCCTAGAATTTCTAAAGTAGAATGGGAGGCAGATCTTTTAGTTCTCAGGCTCCAGTGGGCCTCAGCAGATGGCCGCTCACACTGAGCCTGGTTCTGCTGGAGGTTTCTTCCTGTTCAAAGGGAGTTTTTCCTCTCCACTGTCGCTACAAGCATGCTTAGTGTGAGGGATTGCTGAAGAGTCAATGAGTCGATGCAATCAGCTGGTTTTCCTTAGATAGAAAACTTTGAATCAATCTGACTGGATGATCTGGTGAACTGGAAAGTGACCTGAGATGACATGATGTGAATTGGAGCTATAGAAATAAACTGAATAGAATTAGCAGCGGTTGGATTAATCTGGTTCATGATAAGGAACCATTGGATGGTTAGCGGCCCTGACAGGCTGTGGTTTCCCCCACCTTGGTCCTCAGGGCCAGCAGCAGGAGAGCTCTCTTCCTCTCTGACAGCAGCTCAGGGGCAGCCTCAGTAACCAGGGACACCAACTCCTCCAACATCCCATAATGCTTCACGCTCTGTTGCTGGACCACCTGCCACATGGCCGCCGTCAGCAGGCGGAGAGGAGGGAGGAGGAGTCGCAGGGAGGAGGCTGAGGAGGAGAAGAAATGCGGATCTAATCGATCGTAGAATAAATTAATGTTCATATTCAGTTTTTAAGTGACTTTAAGTGGGGAGCTGTGAGTCCAGAGAAAAGAACCGGATCAGGAACTGGTTCAGAGGAACTAACTGATTCAGTAACCAGAGGTGAGAGAACTGAGGGTTACAGCTGAGCGGTAAACAGGCCGAATGAAAGAGGAGCTCCAGCAGACTGAGACCCCGCAGTTCTCCCGCATTCACAGTCCATCTGATCAATAAAAAAGCAGAATTAGCGGTTCTTCAGCGGGACTTCAGGCTAACGTTAGCCCTGTTGTTGAGCTGAGAGCCGCGCTAGCTTTAAGCTAACCCTGATTGGAGTCCTCCTGCTGAGCTGAAGCAGGCTCCAGTCGTTCGGGAAGCTCTCACCGTTCATCCTGGAGCTCACCGACCCCAAACTCGCTTTATATCCGCCCCGCAGCTCCAGCTAACGGCTAACTGCTTCTTCACAATCCAGCGCAGCTGGTGACTCCGCCCACTTCATGACGTGGGCAAAGGCGGAAGCTATCCGGGGTGCGCATGCGCCTAGAGAACAGCTCTTCACCTCAGGTTCCTCTGGAAGGCAATAAAAACATTAATAAAAAGGCCTCATTATTGTTCCCATATTACCACTAATTCCTCATACAAATACAGTTAAGGAATGGAGACATTTATAAAGTTAACCAGTTAAACATTAGCAGCAATATTTATCGTTATTTAGTGACTTTTAAAATAAAAATAAGGTTATTTTATTCCAAGTCATTTTTTTCACTATGTCATTCATTCATTTATAAAAATATTACTTTGTTAATTAATATTTAGTTTGCAAGTTAAATATTTATTTTTTTAATAAATATTTAGTTTACAAATTAACTAATCTATGTCCTCCAACTCAGGTCACTTTCCAGTTCACCAGATCATCCAGTCAGATTGATTCAAAGTTTCCTA